TGACGCTAAGACTACGTTTCACGCGCTATCCTTTAGGGTCGTTTTCAAAACGCCTTTTTCTAAGCTCCTTCACACCTATTCAACTGATAGATGTAACTTTCCCTGCAACCATAACACTCACCACATGATACGTAACCTTTCCCAATGATCTAAACCGCTCAATTTTGTGGTCAATATCGCAAAACGAACTGACCAAACTGATTTGAGGAATGTCGTCGCACATTTTCAGCGTTCAGACTCCGCTCTACTTATACCGTTTCTTACAGACACCGGGTGACCAGTTGTATTTATTGCTCGCTATTTTCGTTGTCAAGCGCATACAGATGCAGCCCTATAGAAGAAAGAAGCCTTGCACAAGGTTTCGGTATTCGAATCTTCCCGTTCTATTTTGGTTTTCAGCTGCCTATTTCAATTTTTATATTGTATTCCCCCTACTACACATTGTATTATTTGTTAAACAACTACTTTGGAAACTGAACAATTATTGTTGCAGTACCGTGAAATCAGAGCTGTCTGAGTAATTCTGGCCTCCACCACATCAGCATCATATGCTCCGGGAACAGACATACATTGGATGACACATTAAAGGCAGCTGTTCGAAGCAGATGAAAGCACTCGTCCAAGTCAATTGTTCTGAGGAGGTGTGGACCGATTTCTGCGTAACACGCATCTAAAAAACAAACACAACTGTCCCTCTTATCATTCCCCTCAGTGCCAGCGCTAACTGCAAATAAGCACAGTTCGATGGATAGCACCGAACAAACCCTGCAACATGGTGTTATCACAGTAATAAATTTAACCCTTCAACCCGTAACAATAGTTTTACAATTAGGGTTTAAGTGAAACCGTGTCAATGCCCGACTGTTATATCTATCTGGTGGCACCTGTTTGAACTCCGAGGCGTTACTTTTTGGACACCTGGGCCTAAACCATCTTTGCTAGGAAAGAACAAAACTGAGCAAATTTAGGAAAATAATTTACGCCATAGCTTGATGATTACCCATTATCAGTTCATTATTGACTTATTCACAAATTCCCTTTGAAGTCCCACCACCAACCAAAGGTAAGCCGTGTGGTCAATTATTCGAACGATGTTTGTAAGCGAAAACCTTATTCGAAGTTAAAAGTGAGAAACATTTCAAGCCAGTTCAAACAGGACCACGTCCATCATACCGCGTCCAGTTTCGTTAAGTTCCGGTTAAGTTGATGTGCTTATTGATCAAGTCACTTGTCCTACATGGTTTCGTTCGCATTGCACACAAACATCAATCAAACGAATTTGAAAACGTTGAGGTCATTAAAAAGAGAGTAGAAGAATGCTATTTGCGGCTTTATGGTGAGCGAAAGGAATCCGTGGCCACAGAAAAGAAAACGTCCAAAGATTTTTGAGCATTGAAAATATATTCCAAAATGGCAATAATAAGATCGATTGTGTGCAATCATATCTGTTATGGGCAATTCGTTTGCAGGAAAATTGGAAATTGGTTAAGTAATTCGTAAAGATATCATGAAAAAAACAAAAGCTATTACGCACAGGGTGGGGAAGGTGTTCAGCATGCATATCTGTGCTGTCCGGTTGGCCTTACCATGGAAGATTGGTCACCATTTTTAACTTCAACATATCGTGTAACACAAATCCTGATAAGATTCCCTTTCTTGGTCAACTGCAGCTCAGACCAGTTTTCTGTATGCCGACAGTGATGGCTTCACTAGACAAATTGCAACCACCTCCGTCACTGATACTCGACTATGCTGTACGCATTTCAACTGTACGGAGGAGCTCGAAATATAACTTTAGAACTGTGGCTATCAATTACAGACCCAGTTAGTGCACATGCAATAGGCTAAAACACTATTTATTGTCCGCGTAGCACAACTGACTTTTACTTTGACAATCGCCTCATCGATTTTGCTGGCAACTCAGGTCAATGAATGGGTCATTACTGATGAGATAAGATGAGACCCACACACAGCGTTAGTGCACGTTGCCTTCAGAATAGCCAATAACGGCCTCCTCCTGGAAGTCTTTGTAGTATTCGGCTGCATTAAGAGTCATTGAAAGGTGATGGTAAGCACAAGCTATTGCTTTCTCTTATCGTTCTCTCTGGCAGCACAGGTCCTTATATGATGGTCGTTTAACTGAA